GAGGCCCCGCCCCTAGGGCCGCCTTTTCTTTGCCAAACAGGGGTCCCACGCACTCGGTCCGGTTCTCATGGCGATGGGCAAGTGAACTAACGGGGACTCAAACACCAGAGCTCTCCGCCGTCTTCCTGTGATTTCGGTGAGCGTGGACCATGCACACAGGTTCTTCTGACCTCGGTGTTGGAGGCTGGGGCTCAGGTGGCCCATTCGCCCACTGGGCTGAAGCTCCCTCCATCTTTGGTTTCCTTCTGCCTTCTCTGCTGGAAGAGGGGAGGCCAGCGGTTAAGCGTTAGACGACTGCTCATAAGCTTTGAGGACACCACTGCTAGTCACGCCAGTTGGATGGAGGACGTCTTTGTGGACTGTCGGGCCAATGACCTTGGTGTCCCCCAAGACTATTGGTCCTCAGTGCCCAGGCCCGTAACTCAGCCCCTCAAGGTGCCTAAGAAGTTTTCATAACTTTGCCTGCTGTGTGCGCCACCATTTCCATGTCTGTGTTGACAGTGCACATAAGTCCGTAAGTAGAAATTCCCCATCGAACCTGGATCTATCCCGACGTGCAGGGAACTTTGCTTGTATCAGTTCAAGGCGTTCCAGCTGCAGAGCAGAGGGAACGTCAAACCAGCTGCCTCCGCGGAGGGGCTGCACAAAGGAATGGGGGGCTGCCTGCTGGTGATGTTCCACGCCCGCTGGGGCCACGGGCTTTCGCTCCTACAACTGTGGCCCCATTTATGGCAAGCTGCTGGAGAAGGCTCCAGCGACGGTAAACGTGGTGTGGCTCATTCGAAGCCTTGATTGGGCACAAGTGGGCACGATGCCAATCCCAGCTGAGATCCCTACAGCCATTCAGAGCCTTAAAAAAAAAAAGGGTGAGTAGTGATCAAACTGGTTGCTTCAGAGAACTCCGTTAAGGAAGCTCTGGTGTACGGTTTGGTGGCCACCGAGATGTGGATGTGGTTCTATACCAGCGAGGTCAGAGGCCAGCGTGGCACCCTCCGCTCTGCTGTGTAAAGACCAGTCTTTAACTTCTGATTATATCGGGGTTTCTGTTTGAGTGTTCTTGGACTGTGTGTGATCAGGGTACTCTAATGAAATTGCACAAATATATATATGTAATGTATGCACATAGCGAGAATACATATAAGTTACATATAGATTATATATCAGAATGTCTATATATGTAAATTATATATCTAATACATATTCTATAGAATGTGTATATGTGCACATATAGATATATTCTATTTCACTATAGCAGTCTGAACACACAGTCTGAGAACACGCAAAATAGTAAACCAGATATATTTATATATTTTTGTTTATATAATTATATGATATATATCTAGCATATATTCTATATCTAGAATATGTGTGTATATGGGTATGAAACGATCTGTGCACATATATCCATACACACGTATAAAGAATGGTGTGGGGGTGGGGTCCGCCCTCCCCCAGCTGCTGGCAGGAGGAGAACCCTGTAGCAGGAGCCCAAGGATGGATCCTGTGAGCCGAGGTCCCATGTGCGTTCACCCTCCACCCTTCTTCCGACCGGTTCTGACACCCACTGCCCTTCCTTCCCATAACCCTCAGCCTGAAGGCACTCGGGTCTAGCTCTGTGGGTCAGCACACCTAGCGCCTTCAATTAAGTGCTCGGAAGCACCCCACTCTACAAGCCAGCCTCCTGCAAAGGCACTCGGCTTTACTTGCCTTCTGGCCTGGGAAGTCCACCGCTCTGTCTCGTGTGCTGGCTCTTGGTTCCCTTGCTCCTCTGGTGGAAGGTGCAGAGGACACCAACTCAGGGACTGGTCAGTTTTGCCTCTCCTCTGAGTCTAAGAGAGCCACCCCAGAAACAGAATCCTGGGAACATCAGGGAAGAACAGGCACTAGTGGAGCAAGCGTGAGACCCCTGTCTGAGGTGGCCGAGACAGCAGGGGCCACAGTTTGCAGACCATGAGACAGAACAGCGAAGCCACGCCAAAACCGTGCGACAGTGAAGCAGAGCAGCAGGTGGGTGTCCTGGCCCTTGGAGGCCAAAGAACCATGTGACCCAGACTGACCAACAGAGAGGACTTGCCTTCTGGCTGAGAAGAGGCACTGCTGTGACTGAGAGACTGTCTCCTTGAGGTTTTCTGATCCTGACTGGTGGTAACCAATTCAGGTTCTTAATAACCCCCCGGCATGTGAGCATTGTCTGGAAGTTCGAACCTAGCCAAGAAGCAGAGCATCAGAGAAGAGTGGGTGTTAGGATGGTCAAAGAAGGATGGGGTGCAGGCCTGCCTGACCTCTGTCTTGTGGCAATTGGCCTTGGGCTAGTGTGGCATTGCATTCTTCTGGCTGAAGCTGGACGAGGTCCAATGTAACCTCCATGCCGTTTACCGAGAGGTTCAATGGACAAGGATCTCAGGGTCCAAAGGATACGCTCCACTCCTGGCTCTTCCCTGGCTGGTCGTTAGGCTCCCCCTTTCTGCTTCTGAGATGACTCTTTGCATGCCCAGCAGGATTTCACTCAGTGAAGCAACCGCTCACAGCTGAATCGTGTATCTTCCATCAGTCTCTTCCCCCACCTTCTCTGACCCAGACATATCAGGAAAAAGTCCTCTGGGGGGAGTGACAAAGACTATGGCTAGAGGAGCCACGTGAAGGAGCCACTGCACTGCAGCCACGCTGTTCCCAAGTG